CCTAGCACCTCGTTCAACCTCTGGCGGTGGTTCGGAGGAGACCGGATCATCGCTATGATTGTTGACGGGGACAAGACACGGCTCCAGACCCTAGCGCAGAAGGTTCTGCTCCCGCCCGTCGCAAACTCCCCTCCAGTCTGCCGCAAATCTTTTCCTCTTGACGCATCTCCTACGTCTTCTCTTGTCTGCCGCATAGTTTCCTGCATCAACGAGCGAACACGAGCCACACCCAATGACAGCAATATTCAAAACCCTAAGCCGGGGAGATGTCCGCCTACAAAGATGTTTTGAGTTAAATAACCAAAGACACCCTTAATACCCCCTCGCGGTAATCAAACTTTGATGAATAAATATTTTTGGATATGTTTGATAAATCAAGTTTTTTAGAATATGTTTGATTAATAAAGTTGATGATGTTGAGAAATTCTATTTTCCAAGAGATAAGTTGAAAAGTAATTGCATTAAATAGGAATAAAATATTCATTTTTTATCAAACTAATAGTTCACTTTAATATTGACTAAATAGAATAGTTTTTTTTGAATGAAATGGAATTAAATTAAACATTGCATTTCTAATTCTAATAAAATTAATTAATATAATAAATTACTCCTTACTTTCCTTTCACAATCAAGGCCAGTTATTTGTCGTCGGAGTGTGGCGGTAGTGACGGTGAACTACTGGCGGTAGAATCCTGGCAATTAGCAATGGATTTTTTTGAAAATAAATAAATAAACCCTCTATTAAATCAACATATAATTTGAAACGTGTCTTACGACGCAACTAGGAACAGACGCAAACCAATCTCTAAGGTCAAGAGTAAACACGCTAACCCTAGCAAGAGCATGAGCAGAGCGATTCACAGACCTTTTACAAAAGAAGATTCTAAGATCACCATTTTCCTCAAGAAGACTTCTAATATCATCGATTAAAAGATCAAAATAAGAATTTCATCCTTTTTGAATAGCTCTGTTAATTATCATTAATATCCCAATTGCTTCTGTTTCCCTTGGAGACCAATCAACTTTCCCTGCTCCCTAAATCCCCCAATGAACTGCCCCACTTCATCTTGAGCAATCCAACCCCACGCCCTTACACCTTCGCTCTCATTTACCGCACCATTGACATTAATTTTTATCCACCCTTCTGTGGTCTCTCCCAAATCTCCTTTATTTGCTCCTCCCTTACCGCATTAGGCTGCTCTGCACATATTGGTCATCACGCCAACCATGCAAGGTGGCTGAAGCACAATTTACAACACTTGAGGTTACCTGACATTTATCCCCCCAGACTGCATTAATTATGTGTTTCCAAAGACTCCAAAGCACCATTAACAGCTTGCACCAAATCTCATCTTCAGCACCCCCAAACACGCCTTTAATCCACTCCTCAAAACCTCCTGCAACTCTACTGAACCGCCCCCAAAATCTTCCAGATTCCATCAACTTTTTGGTAGAGATAAAAGGCATGCCTCAATGTGCCATAAGTTGCCAAAAAAAGAATTTGATTTTAGGAAGAATTTTGAAATTCCACATGTGAGTCCAGCTACACCAGTCACTACTATTGCTCCCCCCAATCAAGTTTCTATAACAATCTTAACTGAAAAAACTCTTTTGCTACCTCCATGCCACTGGTAACATTCCTTTCGATCCCGTGGGATAATGTGTAAAGTGAGAATTTTTGTGCACTCCTCCGGCAAAAAATTGACAAAACTAGTTTTTTCCACATTGCAACGTTATGTTTACCATCCTCCGAACGCAAGGCAGCCACATTCGTATCCTTTATGCTCAGTGGTCTTGTCGAATGCACCATCTCGGACCCACTCCCCAGTAACCATTGGCCCTAACTTGTACTTCCAAACCACTGCTTACACGCTAGTGAGTATTCTCTATTCTCACTGGTTGAGCCTCAAAGATGTTCCTCCAAATGAAGGATGGATTGCTTCCTAACTTAGCTGTGAGGACAGACCCTCCAGATAATATCGAGACTTAAAAACATGCTCGACCAGACTGTTCGGCTCTACCAAAAGCCGCCAAGCTTGCTTAGCCAACATGGTAATATTAAATTCTCTTATTCTGCGAAAACCAAGTCCACCCTCTCGTTTAGGCTTACATAATCCACTCCAAGCATTCCACTGAATCCCTCTTTGCTCAAACTTGGATCCCTTCCGCTAACAACCATTCATTAAGACTTGTATCTCCTCACTAAGAGATTCAGGTAATAAAAACACGTTCATAGCATAAGTTGACATAGCTTGAACAACATTCTTTTAAAGGATTACCCCGCTCCCCTCAATAAGAACCTGTTATTTAAACTCTTCATCTTTTTCAAATCCTTGAGAAAACTCTGAGTTGCCTTCTTGTCACTTCCAACTAAAGCTGGCCAACCGTAATAAAAAGGTTTTCTCTCCCCCTCAAGACACCCCTAGAGAGTTACAAAAATGCATTCTTATTTAATTCCTCTACATTTGGGCTGAAAGTTAAACTTGATTTATTAAAATTAACTACCTGCCCCGAAGCACATTCATACTGATGCAAAATATCTTTGATCTTTTGGCACTTTGAAGCCTTAGCTTTGAAAAATAAAAAACGTATCATCCAAAAGATAAGCAAGACACCCTTGGAGTTCCCTTGCACACCGTCGCACCATGAATATCCCCTGCTCTCTTAGCCCCACGAAGAAGGGAACTTAACCCTTCAGCCACAAGAATAAATAGATATCGGGACAAAGGATCCCCCTGACGTAACCCCCTCTCAGGGACAATCCTCTCTGTCAAAGTGAACAAAGTAATTAACCGTTGAGACACAATCCATCACCATATTCACCGATCTATTATTAAAGCCCATTTTTAGCATTATTTTTCTGAGAAAAGGCCATTCCACAAGGTCGTAAGCCTTACTCATATCTAATTTTAGAGCCACATATCCTTATTTTCCTTGTTGGTTCCGATTCAAAAAATGTAGCGTCTCAAAAGCCACCATAATATTATCAACAATGGATCTGTCCGGAATAAAAGTACTTTGATTTTTCCCAATTAGAGAGTTTAAAATGATCTTCATCCGATTTTCCAAAATCTTCGAAATTTTTAGATAAACCACATTACACATAGAAATGAATCTCCAATCCCCCAAACTATCCGGCTTTGTCACTTTTGGTATTAAAACAATATTCCTAATATTTAAGTTTTGTGGCAAGTGACCGGTTCCAGATATACAAGAACATAACCCAAAAACATCAGCCCCAACAATATCCCAAACCGATTGAAAAAAGTTGGGTTCATACCGTTCGGACCCAACGCCTTTTCTGGATGCATAGCAAAAATAGTAGCCTTTACTTCCTCCATCGGTATTGGAACTAAAAGTGCATTATTTTGTGATGCATAAACCTTACCAAAATAACTCAAATTCTCGGGTAAAGGCCTTACTCCTAATGAAGTAAATATTGAGGAGAAATAATCTTTAATTATGGTCTTCATAACACTTCCATCGTCCATGACCCATCTACTAATCGAAGACCTTCTATTCTATTCTTCCGCCTCCTTTGTTTAACCACATTATGAAAATACTTGAGTTAATATCCCCTTCGCAAAGCCAAAGCTCTTTTGACCGTTGTCTTCAATAGATGTTTTTCTTCTCTATAAAATCAATATACAGGGATCGAACACGTGCATACTCCTTGCGGCTGCCCTCATCATCTTTATCCCTCAGCTATGCCAATCTTCGCTTACATCCATCAATCTGAGCTCGAAATCCCGTCCTTCTGTCACTTCCCCATCTATGAAGTTATTTCCCACATAAGCGGATCCTCTCCACCAGCATGTCCGCACTTGCTCTCTAACCGCTACTTACAACAACCCGACACACTTCTTTTCGTACTATGATGCTAAGCTTTTTTACAAATTTAAATTTATTAGAATAATTACACAATTTAAAGTACCTTAAGTCATGTTAGAATGTAGTTAACATTATGAAATTTCATTTGTGAAATAAACAATATTTTACCGATACAATTTAATTTTAATTGCATCCTCATAAATGTTTTGTGTATTTTGAATCATGTACTTAACACCATAAAATTACATTTGTGAAAAAATATATGATCATGATGCTAACATAACTTTTTATATTGGGAAAATTCTCTATATAAGAGTAAAAAAGTTTTAAAATTTCAAAATAGGACTGACATGTTTTTATTTTTTAAATATGTATAATTTCTGTCAGGTTTGGCATTATCAGGCCTTAAACATGACAGTTTCTGTAAAGTTTTTTCCAAACTTGGCAAAAATTACTCCTATTTAGGGAATAAAACATGAAAGTCCTATTTTAGAATTTCAAAACATTTTTACTCCTATTCAAAACAATTTGTATTCATACTAATATTATGTTTAAGGTATATATATTGCATGTTCATGTTTAAAATACTCTTATTTCAAGTCTCGTTTCAAAGTTCGGATATTTAAATTATTTCCTTTCTTTTACTATTCATATGTAAATTACATTCCCTAAACATGCCCAATATGAATGTTTTTACTTGGACAATAATTTGCTAGTCTATCTGATAATATTTGAGATTTAATTTAAATGAATTAATAGTACTACTTATAATAACAAGATGCATCTTCTTACTTGGACAATGATTTGCTAGTCTGGACAAAGTGCGCGGAAAAGGATATCGACCGGGCACTTAGAAGGGGAAAATATTCTGGGATCGAATTGGCTTATGGGCGCAAGGAGAACTTTGTGATCTTAAATGAGTGTGATGGTAATACTTTAACATTTAATTTAAACATTACTATCTTATACTCCCTCCGTCCCATATTTAACTCCGGTTTTGACCGGGCACGAGTTTTAAGATAGTGAGATTTGTGTGGTGGAGAGTTATGCAGAGGAGAGAGAAATGTGTAAGAATGATTGTGAACCACATATTCTTTACCAAAAAGGGAAAAAAGAGATAAATTTGGGACGGACCGAAAAGGAAAGAATGAAGATAATTCCGGGAGGGAGGGAGTATTATATAGACTATTTCATATTCCTACTTTCTTTTCAACTATAGCTCAAGCCCTCAAGCTCCACGATTAGCCATCCTCCCGTCCCGCAGCTGGATTCGATTCCGCTAGCATTCAGATATTTTAATACTCTGGAACTATAGATTGTAAGAATATGTTTCTTTTTCCTTTTCCTTTTCCATTGCGTTATGCATTGATAAATCTCGTGAAGAATTTGAATTAATTCATCACGCTGCAAATGTGCCGTTTTAAGTGACAAAGAGTAGTTTCTTATTCTTGGCCTCAAATTCGAGTTAATGAGTTACGGATTTTGCGGTTTGGTGTACTTATCCTCCAAAGAAAGTCTTCTTATCGATGGTCACCAGCTTGCATAGTATTTTAGTTTTGGACCATTTGATTCTCATTCATATCCATATTAGGTTTTAGATGTAACTGGTTGAAATTGTTGGTTAAGAGAAGGAAAAAGGGTGCACATGCTCTAACCTAGCGTTGAGCTGTATAGTTTGTATGTGGTTGATATTTAGCTATATAGCCCCTACAGCCTTAGCTTCTTGTTTCAGAGAATCACAAAAATTTGAAAACCACGGCAGTTTAAATGCTTATCCGCTGAATTTTCTTACTATTTAATAGGCTGATTTTGATCTTTTTTGGTTTAGGAAAGAAAGAGGATGTCGGGTCGACAAATGAAGAGAATATTGAAAGAGCAAGAAGATGCTCTGCAGAAGCAACAAGACAGTGAGGATGATTCAGACTCCCCAGACAGTTCCTCCCTTTCTAAAAAAAACCCATTTGATATTCTTGATGAGGAAGACTCTGAGGAGAAAGAACAACCTGATAACTATGATGGCGTTGGCCAGGTGAGGCCTAGGATATCTACTCTCCCACCCAAAGTAAATAAAAAACAACAATAATCGTATTCTTTATGTTTAGGTTTATGAATATACTCCCCCCTTTATGCTTTCTCTTTACTCATCACTGATTCAGGCATTTGATTGTTTTTTGTTCTTTTCTTGTGACCCGAGTCTTGAAAATGTTCCCTATAGATTTTGTGTAGCCATTACTATTTTCAAGTTCATAGCTAATGTAGATTCCCCAAAATCTTTTGCGACTAAGGTTTGGGTGTTGTTATAGCTAAAGTAGATCATATGTGCAATATCTAGTTATCTACATGAAAAGAGAAGCCCGTGAGGCCTATGGACGGGAGACTCTAAAAGAGTTACTGTTCATGTTTCGTCTAAACTACCAATTATGGGACAAAAACATTATCTGCTTGTACTAAAACAACAGCAACGTCCAAGCCGTAGTCCCAAAAAGTGTTTGGGGTCCGCTAACATGTATCGATATATGAAATCGATGCAAAAAAAAGATAAACGATAAAAGTATTAAAAAAGATAAAAATGATAAGATAAAGAAAAAAAGATAAGATAAAAAGAAGATAAGAAAGAGGAAAAAATAAAAAAGATAAAATGGGATTATTCCTCCACACATATATTGTCCCTCCACTTTGCTCTATCCAAAATCATACTCTCATCCAACCAACCCAATAATTAGCATACCATCTCTGACCCCTCTAATCCACGTCTATTTGTGTCTTCCTCTCCCTCTCCTCCCCGCCTCTTCTCCCAACCTCTCAACTTGTACTAATCAAATTGAAAAGTTAAACACCATTATTGTAGGTGAATTTCTGTACAGAGTTCTAGTGGAGCGCTGTTTAATGTTTAAAGTAAGATCACATTTAGGGATGTGTGCAAATTTCATGCTCACTTCATTGAGGCTCATTTGCGATGTAAATGTATGATTAGGCTTTATTTTATTACAATGCTAGGCATTTTTTATTCATGTTGTATACTGTAGGTAGTGAGACACAAGTTTTGAGTTACGTAACCAAATAATTGAGTCACGCTAGATGAAAGTCATTAGTACAGGCACAGTGAACAAGAGTGCACAAGCCAAGAAAAGCATATAGTAAGGAGAACTCATTACTTTCCTTGGGGTTTCAAATAAAATAATTTGGTATTCCAATTCTACCATCATTATTACGACTCGTGAATGAATAATGATGAACATAAGTACATAACACAAAGTTTATTAGGGGCGAAAATGGACCTAACAATAGCTTCATTAAGAAATAATGACTTACAAAAAAGACCATTCAGTCGTTCTAAAAAAGACCATTCAGTCGTTCTAAAGAACAGATGGATTATATATTTTGGATTTCTTGTTAAATTGGCTAAGACCATATAGGTTTGCTAATAAATGAAGCCAAACTCTAGCATGCCAATGCTGGTAAATTTACATCTCTGGCCTTTATGCAATTTTCATGCTTTGATGTGCAGGTCGATAAGCCAGAGATTACTGAGAAATCGTCTACAGTGAAGAATGATGAAAAACATTCCTCCATTGTTACATATACTAATAACACATTCGTGTCATCTAATTTGAAATCAAAGAAAAAGAAAAATAAAATCAAGGAGAAGTCACATTCAGCCACCAGAAATTCTCAGAAGGGCTTGGAAGATATTTTGGAAAACTTATCTGTCAGAGGAAGTTGTGAAGATATAGCGTCTCATTCAAGAGAAGAAAAATTGTTCAACTCAAGTGGCATCAAGAAATCTTCAAATCCCATTCTACAAATTGATCCAAAATTTTTAAGTGCTGAAAATGAGTTGCGGAGGATATTTGGGTCTAAAGTAGTGAGTTCTTTTGAACGGAATAATCAAAGCGGAAGTTCTAGACCGGCACGTGGCAGTAGGCGTGGTGGCTCAAATCACAGGAAGACTATCCTTGTTCAACCTTCAGAGCATTGGCCACGATGGGATGGCTCTCTTACCATGGAACTTTTGGGAAACAATGATGATTTCAATTATTTCAGGTAATATATCCATTTTGAATTAATTTAATACTACCTCCGTCCCACTAACATTTTGACGAGGTGGTGCAGTTATTAAGAAAAGTGGGTTTATGTGATTGATATTGAATTGATAAAGTAAGAATGATTTAGAACCACACAAATTTTAGCAAATTTGGTGTGGGACAATCTGAGTGGGATGAACTGAAGAGGAAAGATGGGACAATCTTAGCCGGACGGAGGGAATTATAGATCCCCCCCTCCCCCGAAAAAGAGCCCTAATTGAAAACATATTTTTCTTTAAATAAAGAGTCTATTTAAACACATGAGTAGCTAATCTCATTCTGTTTAACATTTTATTTTAAGTATAACAAATTTAGTCAAAAAAGGCCCTAGTTCAGTTGCCTCCCAACCACAAAAAAGGCCATAGTTTTGTACTCTTGCATTTAAAGACCCTAGTTCTGTAGCTGAAGTGAATGAAGGGGTATAATGAACTTTTTATGAGTTAGTGTTCAAACATGGGCTGATGAATCTTGAGGAATGGTAGATTATTTGAGTAAAAGTTATATACTCCCACTAAAAAAGATTCATGTTTCAAACCACTTTTTTGTCCTATTTAAAGGAGTCCCGTTTCACCACAAAGGTATATGTATGTAATTTGCCAAAAATGCAAAAAAGAGTCATAGACAATCTACATATAAGCATTTAGCTAAAAAACAAATAAGTTTATGATTAATGATTTATGTCAGTTGTAGCTTACCAAAATTAAAAAGTTGTACATTTTTCAAAGAAGATTCATTTTTTGGGGCGTAGCTAGTATTTGGTAGTGCTGTAGTGCATACTCCAATACATAAAAAATTGACCAATAGATTCAGTGTCTTCTCTCAATAAATTGATCTGCAAGCTAACCAGGCATGTATATTATGTTTATAGGTATGTACATTCGGCTTCCTATAGCCAAGCACAGAGAGCATTTGAAGCTGCCAAGGCAATCCATGACCTTAATGGCATTGTCAATGTTCTCATGCACCATCCATACCACATAGATTCCCTTGTCACATTAGCCGAATATTATAAATTTTCGGGTGAACTTCAAATGTCATCAGATGCCACAGCTAGGTGTTTGTACGCCATGGAATGTGCATGGCATTCAATGTTCACTCCTTTTCAGGGTAATTGTCAGCTGAAGTACAGCCATGAAACAAACAGGCCCTTCTTCACTGTACTCTTTTCCCACATGAAGAACATGGACAGACGTGGCTGCCATCGGTCTGCACTCGAGATTTGCAAATTGATCCTGTCCTTGGATTCCGACGATCCCATCGGTGCTTTATTTTGCATAGACTACTACTCCTTGAGAGCAGAGGAATATTCCTGGCTAGAAAGATTCTCCGAGGAATATAAAAGTGATAATTCTCTATGGTTATTTCCAAATTTTTCTTATTCTCTTGCCATATGCCGATTCAAGCTTGAAAATCGGGAAGAAGATGAGGAAAAAAATACTGAACTGTTGAAAGCGGGATCTAGTGATTTGATGAAGCAGGCTTTGATGCTTCATCCTAACGTCTTGAGAAAGTTAGTGGCTAAAGTGCCATTGAAGGATCAAACATTTAGCCGCATAGTTAAGTATGGTTTGTTTTCCTCTGAGAAAAGTGGGAGCTTATCTTCAGATCATTTGGTTAATATATATGTTGAGCGGAGTTACCTTATATGGAGGCTTCCTGATATCCAGAAGTTTCTCAAGGATTCTGCCCTTATGGTGATTGAAATGCTGGATAAGAAGGAAGCTGATGCTAAGGATTGGACCTGTGTGAGAAAGGAGGCATTTTCTTCGGACAAAAATGAGTATGACTTTAAACTTAAGTTCATTAATGGATTAAATATGTGTTTTTGTTCCTACTTAATATATAGTGTTTTTGTTTTAGGTTCATGTAAATTACTGTTATTCTTTATGCATCACTATGACTGTTATTTTTCTTTGTAGTCTCCATTAAGGAAAAAACTGATGCGGCTCATAGAACTCCATTTTGGCCTCTTCATGTGAAATTACTGTAGCGCATCGGCTACCATTAGGGAAGTTAGGGGCTAAACAAAACTTACTTTAAACTTTCAACTTATGGCTCTCTCAAAATAAAAGATTTATTTAAAAAAAGAAATACCAAGGAAATGCTAAATTAGAGTTTTGTGAGCCACATTGGCTGATTTTTTAACAGAGGACTTGAACAAAAATGGTGTAGATTACAGTGATGTACATCAAAAAATTAATAGGGACTTAAAACAAAAATGCTATTTTTTTAGCTTGTTAGGAATAAAAAACACATTCAAGCCGAACTGCTGAAGTAGTTAAGTTTGTATTGTAAGCTCTAGAATTAATTTGTATGTGAAAATGGGTTTTGATTTACTGAGTTCATTATTGATTTTGTATTAGGTATTCTCATCTATTGGTGTCTGATTTTTCGGATTTAGTTCCAACTTTGCCACCTGATAACCTGCAAAATTTCATGGTTGACCCGAGAATGGTGAACAATGTGGGTGAAGAAGCTGCTAATCGTCCTGTGAGAGATCTGTCAAACAGAAACGCACTAGCAGTTCTTTTTGAGTCAATGTTGCCGTGGGTTGACTATGGTACTGAACACATTGCTGAAGATCACCCACATGGTCATGAAGGTTGAGATGGTCCAAACTACGGGAAAAAGTAACAAAAAAGACAGTTAATTACTCATCTTCAATTATGGATTTTAGATCATTCATCTCTCATGTAAAATAGGGTGAGTATTTGCATAGTATTAAACTCGGGCAGTCAGACTTGGTTAAGTCGCTTATGGCTTTGACAGAGACGAAGTCGTCTGCTTATCGATGATGTCTTTGATGTTGCCATAGCGTGAGGTTCTTTCTCCGAAACTCAGGCATGCAACATGCTCGAATGTTGTCTTTCCAGCTTTCCCCTTCATCAAGAATCTTGTAAGGCTATGTTTCGATTTGGGAAAATGCTGAGGGAGAAGGAAAGAAATGCTAAAGTGAGTTGATTTTTTATACTCCGTATTTGGTTATACACTTATACATCGAAAAATGCAAACGGGAATGACCCATGCTTAAAGTGCCTTTTTAAGTATGTTCAAGTTTCATAGTTTTAATTTTGAAAATGAATTTAATAAGATAATAAACATTATTCTCCTGAGTTTCAACTAACGTTCTATTTTCTGTATTTCATTTCATCCCCCCCCCCCCCCCCCTATAATTATCTCCTTATCCTTGGAGCTTTTCCAAGTTCCAAAAGGATCCTAAATGTGTTCATAGATATTTCAAATAACCCTGCCTTGTATTCTCCCAAAATAATACTCCGTAGTTATGTATGTATTGTCTTTTTGGACTGTACCAAAATAAAAGTTACGTTTCTTTTTTTGTCAAACTCTTATATACCATTCATACTTTATCCTTCCCTTTACTTGCCTATTCACAATTTTGTCATTACAATTTTACTTGCTTTTACTTTTCCATTGCTAGAGTAATGGTAAAAGATACTTTAGATATTATATCTCATTTTCTCATTCTATCATTTCTATGTACTTAATCAAAACATCACTATTAATTTGAGATAGAACTCACGGAAATGTTATTTATTGACATGTTAAAAATAGAAACACTCGTTCTTTCAATAGAAATTGCTCTGAATAGGAGTAAAAATGTTTTGAAATTCCAAAATAGGACTCTCATGTTTTTATTTCCTAAATATGAGTAATTTTTGTCAAATTGAAAAAAATTGCCATGTTTAAAATGTGATAATTTGGATGGACTCAGGTCCGGGCCGGGTCCGGGTCGAGCCTAGGCCTGGGCGGGCCGGCGGGTCAGAAATGGTGGACCTGGGACCGGCCCGGGTAACCACCGGGTCCGGTCCGGGTCGGGCTGGGCCCATTATATATATTTTTTGTTTTCCTCTTCCTAATTAACCCCCCTCCCACCCCCAACCCCTCAAACCACCCCAAATGGCCCAAAATACCCAGCCCAACCCGAAAATTTAAAAAAAATTGAAAAAAAAATTGTTTTTGGCCTGAATCGGGCCCGGGCCCGGCCGGGTCGGGCCTTGTTTTTGGGTGACCCGAGTCCGGACCGGAAAACCCACGGGCCGGGCCTATCCAGACCGGTCACTGACGTGGCCACCGGGTCGGGCCTGGCCGGAACAGTACCGGTCCCGGGCCTGTTCCGGGTCGGGCCACCCGACCCGAGTCCATCCATATGTGATAATGCCAAATTAGGCAGCAAGTACTTCTATTTAGAAAATAAAAACGTAATGGTTCGAATTTTTATGCTTTGTTTGGCATTTGTTATATAGAAAACATGTTTGGCAATTTTTTTTTCTTCCAGTTACGGATTAAGTTACATTAAGGAATACATTAGTATATAGAACAATTTAATTTATTTAATTTATTAATGACAAATGGAACCTGCACAAAAGTAATTAGATAGTTTGATACATCCAGGAATACATTAGTATACAACAACAACATTCAAGCCTTAATTCCAAAAGAATTTGGCGTCGGCTAACACGAATCGATCTATGATATCGATGCCAAATAGGGATGGACTAAACCGGGTCGACCCGGCCCGGAACTGGCCCGACCCGCTACTGTGCGGGCCTGGACCGGACCGGGACCGGTTGGCCGGTTCCGAGCTATTAGCCCGTTTGGTCGGGTCAGGCGGGCTGGGCTCGGGCCCAGTTTTGGGCAAACCGGCCCGGACGGTTCGGGCCTGGCCTGGGTCATATTTTTTTTCAATTTTTTTTCTTTTCCTAGGGTAGGGTTGGGTGTTTTGGGGAGGTTTGGGGGGTGGGGGTGAGGGGGGGGGGGGGATAACAAGAAAGCAAAAAAATAAATAGACATTGAACCGGGCCCGACCCGGTTAGGCCCGGACCCGGTATCAACCCGGGCCGGTTCCGGGCCCAAGGATTTGCAAAAAAAGCCCGCCCGGGCCCGGCCCGGCCCGGAACCGGCCCGGCCCGGGTCCATCCCTAATGCCAAACAGAGAAGATGGACAAGAAAGAGAAGAAAAAAAGTAAGATAAAATGAATAAAATAAAGATAAATAAATATAAGATAACAATAACACAAGAATATAAGAAAGATAAAAGAAAAAAAATAAAAGAGCATAAAAAAGTTAGAAAATAAAAATAGTATAAGAATATATTAAAATAAAGAAGATAAACGATAAAAGAAAAAAAGAGAGGCAAGGTAGAAAAGACATCAATCGTCCATACAGATGTGCGCCCTCCACTTTCCTCTTTCCAAAGTCATACTCTCATCCAACCCAAGAATGCGCATATCGGTTCTGATTCTTCTAATCCAAGTCTGTTTGGGTCTTCCTCTCCCTCTCTTCTCTGCCTCTTCTCCCCACCCCTCAAGTCGTGTAACAGGTGCATCATTTAATCTTCTACGCACATGCCCAAACCGCCGCAAATGAGACTCCTGCATCTTATATTCTATAGGTGCTACTCCCACTTTTGTCTGATTATATCATTCCTCAAGCGCTCTTTTCTGGTATGTCCACACATCCAACACAACATACGCATCTCTGCCACATTCATCTTTTGAGTGTAGCATTGCTTCACCGCCCAACACTCTACGCCATACTTTAATGCAGGCCTAATTGTTGTTCGATAAAATTTACCTTTCAGTCTAATCGGCATACCTCGATCGCATAGAAATACTAAAGCACTCTTCCATTTCATCCATCCAGCTCTGATTCTATGGCATACATCTCTATCTAATTCACCATCGTTCTGAATTATGGAGCTCAAGTAACGGAACATATTACACACTGGTATCTCTTTACCATCAAGAGTAATCACACCGTTGCTACTACTTCTACCTCCATCAAACTTGCACTTCATATACTCAGTCTTGCTTCGGCTCAGTCCGAAACCCTTGGTCTCCAATGTTTGTCGTCATACTTCCAACTTTGCTTTAATACCGAATTGTGTCTCATCAATCAATACAATATCGTTGGCAAACATCATGCACCACAATATATGTTCTTGAATTGACTTCGTAAGTTCATCCATGACTATAGCAAATAAGAAAGGACTCAGCAGATCCTTGGTGCACTCCGATAGTAATAGGGATCTCTGCGGTCCTCCCTACACTAGTGTGGACACTTGAGTACAAGCATCATACATATCAATGATGATACTGATATACTTACGTGATATGCCTTTTCTAGTTAAGTCCCACCAAAGGACTTCTCGAGGTACCCTATCATATGCCTTTTCTAAGTCAATGAACATCAAATGCAGATCCTTTTTAGTGTCTCTATACTTCTCCACAACTTGTCTAAGAAGGTGAATGACCTCAGTTGTTGAGCGTCCCGACATAAAACCAAATTGATTTTCCGAAATTTTCACACTTTTATGAAGTCTTTGTTCAACCACTCGCTTCCAAAGTTTCATGGTGTGACTCATAAGCTAAATCCATCGATAGTTAGCACATTCTTGTACATCACCCTTATTTTAAATAAGGGAATGACAGTACTCTTCCGCCAACTAACTGACATTTTGTTGTTTCTCCAAATCATGTTGAAGAAACGTGTTAGCCACTCAATGCCTTTCTCTCCCAAACTTCTCCAAGCCTCGATCGGTATGCCATCTGGGCCCACTTCTTTCTTCCGCCCCATTTTCTCATAGCCTCTTTAACTTCTGTTGTTTGAATCGTTCTCACGAAGTCCTGATTTACCATACACTTTGGTATAGTAAGATCATCAATACCTTGCACTTTATTCCCGTTGAACAATGTATCAAAGTATGATCTCCAACTCTCTTTTATTTCTTTGTACTCCATTAGTACTCTTTGATCGACATCCTTCACACACTTAACTTTTCCGATATCTTAAGTCTTACGGTCACAAATTAAAGGCGAGCAAGTCTGTAGATATCTTTTTCTTCTTCCTTAGAGTCCAACTTTACATACAATTCCTTGTTCACTTTTCTTCTGGCTTCCTACACAGCTTTCTTTGCTCTTCTTCTAGCCTCCTTGTACTCCTTTATGTTTTCGTCGCTCCAAAATTAGTATACAGAACAATAATTTATTAATGACAAAAGGAACCTGCACAAAAGTAATCAGATAGTTTAATACTAAATAGGATGAGACATAGAATTGAAAAGTACATGAAAGGATTCTATAGTTTCACTCCTTCTGCAAATATGTAGACTCTTTTTTTAGTAAAGAAACTCCAACTCCTAACCAAAAACATAAATTGGTTTACCTATGGAGTAACTCCTAGAATCATCTGTTTTACCCGCTATTGAGAAGAAATTATCAGAATCATCAATTGATCAACCACGGAAAAGTAATCCAATCAAACGCTATCTTTCTCTTATAACATGATAGTGGTTTAGGGGGGAAATATCTGATCCATCATCGCCGTTGATACTCAAAATCATCGTCTTAGAAAAATTAGGTAGAACTAGCCTTGTTGATCATTAATAACAAAATTTCATCACTCAATCGATTTACACCAATGAAAAATATACGAAATACTACTAAATAGTTGGCTTGTCTACTACGGAGTCACAACTTTCGACCAATCACCTATAAATTGGTAATAAACACCGACCTGCAAATATGCATGTTCTTCTCCATAGAGAACATTTTTTGTGCAACTTATTATGTCGACTTATTTTCTTCCTTATTAGTGACTTATTACTTACCAACTACGAGAAAATTGTGCAAAGTAGGACCATTTCATAGCTGTTTGACAAAAATAGGACCTTATTAGTTAATTTACTTTCGTACATCCATATTAGTTCTATTTTAAGAAACTTAATTCTGAATTACCTAGATTACCCCTAAGTCCCTGACCTAACTCCCGTCTCTCTCTTGTGCAACGAAACAGAGTCTTTTGGTGGCTCGATTCTGTGGTGAAACAACAAAGATGGCACAAACGTTAGCTGATGATGAGATTCGGTGCGGCGGATCGGAGAAGACAAAGTGCAGCGGCGGCGGCGGTACCCGGCCCTTCTTCTCCTTCTCCTCCAGTCTTCCATTCCTTCGTGTCTCTCTTCTTCATCTCCTTTTCTTGTCTTGTGTTCTCCCGTCATGGAGACCATAGATTTGGATAAGAGATATCGAGTAAGCAAATATAATCATGGATATTCCTGGAGATTTATTTTGAATTGTTGAAGGAAATTGGCTTCGAAAGTGCTGATGAAGGTTGGGACTGGGGACACTTCATTTTAGGCAGTAGCCTTTTTGAGTGGGTGACGTAGGGATGCAATTTTGTATGGAATTGTTGATACGTTCGTAATTTCCATATTTATGTTTTTGTTTTTAATTAGTTTTGCTTGACTTTTTACTTTGGAAATTACACACTTTTGGTGTAATAGATTAGATT